GGGGGGGGGGGGGAAAGGAGGGATGGTGGGACGGTGAAATAGGGGTTGCTGGGGGTGAAGTGGATGGTCTCCAGGCAGCCCTTCGCCATGTGCGGCTGTCCCTCCTTGTCGCACGCCTCCCGCCGCCCGGCCGCATGGCCCTCCACGATGCTCATCATGGTGTTCAGACACCACAACCGGTCGCGGCGTGGCTGCACGAGGGTGAGGGCCGTCAGGTTGATGAGCCGTTTGCCGAGCTGGAAGGCCTCATCAGGCGTCATGCTCTCCCAGAAGTGACGGTCGCCCTCGGTGGAAGAGTCGATGGCGATGTGAGTCTGCTGGTGAAGGGCTGCCTTGCGGACTTGCGGCCACTGCTTGCAGAGGGTCGAGAGGGCCGACAGCTCGCGAGGGGTAAAGAAGCTGAAGACACCCGACAGGTGGTCGTCGCCAAGACCACGAGGGGCCTGAATCAGGGAGAGCATGAGAGTGAGCCGCGTCACGAGAGTGGCTGTGTGTGTGTGTACCATTGTCTTATCCTCCTGATCAGCAGAGTTCTTGTGAGTGAGGCGGAAGCCGCCATGCGCCTGGGCGTACACACACCACACACACACATGCGATGATTGAGTGGACGTGTGGACGCCGCGTGTACCTGTTGGTCATGCGGTGATGCGGGGGTCTTGCTATGCGGCACCAGCACTTTGAACTCCTCATGTTGTCCGCCCACCTCCCTCATGTGAAGCGCCGTCCGTCCACTGCCCTCCTCGATGCGATACACGTCGGCCTTGACCCACCTCTGCTTGCCCTTCTCCCGCCCGTTGGTCACCATCAGCACACGACTGCCCTCTTTGTAACGGCACGGCGTCGGGGATGCCATTGCCTGACGAACCGAACAATAAGGTGAACAAAGGGATGAGTCAGTGATGCTCTGACACATTGATGAGTGTGTGTGTTTGTTGTGCTTTGACTGACCTCGCCGTGAGGCAAAGCAGACGATGATGAAGCTGCCATGGCGAGACGCAAACACAGCTGACGAGAAGAGGACAGAGGTGTGTGTGTGTGAGTGCATCTACTCGGCATCTGTGTGCTGCCTACCGGCGAGATGTGTCGAAAAGAATCCTATGAGCGATGGCCTCTCTATGGCCTCTGTCAGCCGAGGCTTGCTATCGAGGAGGCCGACCTCCGCAGGGCACTCACGGAGTGCAATTCGCTATAGAACACGCTAATCCATTCATCGAAGGGCGAGCTTATGAGCTCGCGATCTGCGGGGTGTTCCACTGATTCCATTCATGGCAGGCCAGGCCGGTTGGTCAGAGGGGACCACATCGACGCGAGTGACGTCAGCGACGATGAAGAAGAAGCAAGCAGCCGCAGGCAGCCGACAGACAGTCACATGCGTCGCATGGCGTCAGATGCTGCATTGCCTGCCATTGGTTCATTCTGTAGGACATGCTGGCAGCCATTCCATTTATCCATTGAGTCACTGACTGTCAGGATCGACGGCCAAAAATGGTGCATGCCTTCTCTAACCATTTGGCTCCATGTTGTGTGTCCCTCTCTGAGCGCCCTTCGGTGCCTTCAGCCACAACACCTCCCGTCAGCTGCTGTGGTTGGAGGCACCTGCTGCTGTCACATGCAGCCATGAGGAAGGAAGACACATGAGTGAGTGAGTCGGGGCCCACCCACAAGGCACCACACCCGGTTGGACACCCACCCGCCTTAGGCGGCCCTCATCTCGTCTCGTCTCGTCTCGCTGCATCTCCTCTCCATCCAGGCTCTCTACATCAGCTATCAAACACTCTGCCTGCCTCTCCCTCCCCTCCCGGCCACCACCCACCGCCCTCCCGCGCCTGCAGGCCTATACAGCACATCACCACCGGCCCACGACACATTGACAGTAGCCAAGACACACGAATTCACCAACCCACTCCCATGCACTGCACCACAAATCGGTCGACACACTCCACTGCAAAACGACCCGAAGAACAAAACCCGAACGAGGAAGAAGCAAGAGCCAAGTGCCAAGGGCCAATCAGCTATCTATCTGGGCCTGTAGGTCCTTTCCCTACGCTGCGGCTGTTGCTGCTGCTGCTGCTGCTGTTGCTGAGGAGTCCTCCGGGCAGCACCAGCACCAGCGCCGTTCCGCTTCCTATTCCTGCCCATCGTCTGTGTGGTCGCGCCCTCATAGCCGTTGACGCTGCCCCGCGGGACGACTGTCTGTGTGGCGGTTGCCGCCTTAAGCTGCTTGACGCCCCTTCTGCTGGGCGGGGGAGCGGTGAGGGAGGGGGGCGGTGGAGAGGGTATGTCTGTGGGGATGAGGGGAGGGGGCGGGGTGGGCCGTCGCGAGGCTGTCGGCTCGTACCCAAATGCCCGGCTGATGGCCCGCTCGCTGACACCCAGCGCAAAGTCGTTCAAGAGCTTCTGGGCCCTCGGATTCTGATAGACGATTCACACACAGACACACACACACACGAACGGGTTGTCTGCCCCCTCTTGACCTCCTCCCCTCCCCTCCCCTGTCTGCTGACCCGCAGGACTTTGGACAGCGTCATTGCGAGTGACCTGGTGTCGCCGGCCTGCCCCTTCCTGATCATGGTGACCATGTGCGACATCTGATTCATCGTCGGGTTGAGCGCAGGCGGCCTCGCCAGACCCTCGGGCTGCAACACGCTGGCCAGAGGGGCCGCCAGCACCCAGGGGAGCCGGGGGAAGGACCCGCCGAGGTCTCGCAGATAGGCTGAATACGACCGGACGTAGTCGACCGTCTCAGTGGCTGCCCACGCACCAACCAGGGGCAAGGCGTACATGTCAAGTGTGTCGCCCATGTGTCTGTCTGTTTGTATGGCTTACTGAGGTCGTCGAGTCCATCCACGAGCAGTGGGACCACCTGTTCCGCAACGTCTTCGCCCTCGTCAGAGAGGAGGAAGTTGACGAGCTGCGTGGACGCCAGAGACACGTCGAAGTCGGCGTCTGTGACGGCGTTGTCCAGCAGACTCTGCAGACGACTCCACCGCAGCTCACCGTCAGGCATGCTGAGGACGGGGGAAACGCACAAACAGTGTGTCTCAGTGTGTGTGTGTGTGTGTGCGGGGTGTGGTGTGGTGTACCTGAGGTTTCTCAAAGCAGCCTGCAGTTCCTCTGAGGCGTCTGTGAGGAGGAGAGAGGCGATGTAGGGATACGCCTCCTTGATGATCGTGAAGGTCGGGTCGACCTGCACACAACACACACACACACGCAAGCCACCACACACATGAGGGCCGGGCAGGGACGAGCTTGCTGTGTCTGTGTCTGTGTCTGTGTCATGCAGCCATCCATCCTTGTTAGTGACCTACCTGTATTGATATCCCCTCGAGGACGCCCAGACACCGAATGATGGCGATGTAAAAGGGCGGCAGCGAGAAGGGGTACGTGTACATGACGTCCTGTCAACACACACCGCCACAAGTGCCCGAGATGCGTGTGTGGCCTTTCCACCCCTGTCCACTTACCCCCAGCTTGGAAATGACGTTTTTGAAGTTGAGTTCGCTGACCGAGGAGCCTAGGACGTCTGGCAGCGTGGCGTTGAGGGCCTTGACGATCGGGTCGGTGGGCTGGTCGGGCGGGATGAATCCCATCCGCTTGTACAGATTCGCCAGCGCCTCGAAATCACGATTCACTGACAACAGAACACACGACAGAGAGAGGCCGGGGGGAGCAGAGACGCATCCACACATGCTGAAAGACGCCCGTGTGCGGTGTGTGTGGCAAGGGCCATCAATTACCGAGGTGCACGACGGCCTCGATGATGGAGTACCGTTGGTAGGGCTTGACGTAGGACATCATGCCAAAGTCGAGGTACACCAGGTTGCCCTCAGGCGACACCAGCAGGTTGCCCGCATCTGTCGCATGCACCCAAATGCACCGGCAGCCACATGTGTCAGATCTGTGTGTGGTGGAGCTCTCTCTCTCTCTCTCTCTGTAGGCGTGTGTGGGTCACGTGGGTCGGCGTGGAAGAATCCATTGTCGAGTATCTGCTTAAATGAGCACTGCACGAGTATGTCGATGAGCTCGCTGCGGTTGACGCTCCGCTGGTCGAGCACCTCCTTGTCGGTAAGCCTGTTGCCCTCGATCCACTCCATCACCAACACCTGCATACACACATACGCACATGTGCCGCGCTCCACTGCTCTCTCTCTCTATGTGTGTGTGTGTGGGTGAGGATGGATCACCTTGCGTGTGGTGAATTCGTCATAGATGAGTGGGGCCCGCACACGGGGGGTAGTCTTCGCATAGAGCTCGTTGAAACGCTGTGGTGCACCACCCACACCCAACATGGCCAACATTGACGCGAACTGCTGCCTGCGTGTGTCTTGTGTGTATTGTGTGTCGTTCGTTTGTGCGTCAGTCACCTTTGCGTTGTTCGCCTCGAGCAGGTAGTCGATCTCCCCATAGATGAGGCGGCCAAAGTCGTCAATCACCGACACCAGATTAAGGTCGCGCTTCAGAACACCCAGCAGACGAGTGAATATCTGACCCAGAGAGAGACTGCATGAGGGCCCCATAGATGCATTCCCTCGTGTGTGTGGACCTTCGAGTAAGTCGAAAGGATGTAGAGGTCCAGGGAGATGATCTCCTCACACCCCGGCCGCTGCACCTTCACCGCCACTTCAGCCCCGTTGCTGCGCAGCCGGGCACGGTACACCTGCCCGATGCTCGCAGCGGCGATGGGCTCGCTCTCGATCTGAGAAAACACCTGACACACACACAAATCCACACACATCTGGTGGGTGGGTATGTGGAGAGGTGTGTTGTGTTGTGTTGTGTTGGTACGTCATTGATAGGCATCCCAAGCTCCTCTTCGATGGTCTGGAATGCGATGTCTGAGGGGAATGGCGGCAGTCGGTCCTGCAGCTTCTGAAGCTCCTCGAGGTATTCGGCCGGCAGCAGATCGGGCCGCGACGACAGAGCCTGACCCGCCTTGATGATCGCAGGACCTGTGACACACACACGCACACGGACAGGACAGATCGTGTTGCGTGGCGGCTCGCTGGCGTGGCGCCCATACCACCTACCGAGGTTCGATATGAGCTGCAGCAGCTCGTTGGCCCTTTTGCGTCTGTTCTTCTTCTCGACGCCCATCTGTATGTCCATCACCACTCGACCCAGGAAGCGCGCAAGAGGCGATAACAGCTGGACCTGGTGGACACACAAAATGCCACACAACCAACGCACCTATGACAGACACTGTTTCGCTCTCTCGTGACGGTGTGTGCGTGCGCGTGTGTACCTGTCTTTTGCTGACGACGAGGGGCTTATTTCTGAAGTGCTTGCGGGCGGCATCTGCATCATACGGCACCGACGGCTGCAGCAACGGCTCGGCCGCTGACAACCAACACACAAACGTGCAGTGCAGCAGAGTGACATTACATTTAGTCTTCCTGCACTCTTCACTCCATGCCCACCTCTAGAAGTCTGCACGGCCTTCTGCAGCAGCTCCCGCGCCTTGATGAGCCTCTCGCTGGCATAGCTCGGCCGCATCAGACTGGCGTCACTCGCACTCACGGGCGGGTCATCAACATCGTCTCTCACATTCCCGCTGCTCTCATATGCCGCATCCGTCTCCTCTATAGCGAACTCCACCTTCTGCGGCGGCGCCCGCGGTGCCCTCACGGCGTGCAGCACACTCACAGTCCGTGCTGATCTCTCCCTGGAGTGCACTGATGACGATGGCGCCGCTGGAAGATGGGCAAAGGCCGCCGCCTGCCGGGCGGGGTAGGCGATGGGATGTGTGGATGCTGCGCCTACTGACACGGCGAGGAAGAGCAGTGCCGCTCCAGAGGAGGATAAGAGAGCTCCCATGAGGATCTCTCACATCAAGACAGCTGACGCCGGAGATTTCGATGAGAAATGAACCGCTGCTCGTCGTAGAAGACTGCTGCTGTGAGAGGAAGCGTTCACTGAGCTGAAATTGCTTCGCTGATCTGTGCGAGCTTTATTCCACCACTGCGAGCTTAGCGGCAAGACCCGAAGGGAATGAAGAACAAGCGGACACCACAACAGTAATGCCGAGAAGGAGAAGGCCGGTCGTACAACAGCTCAGCATTCGTCCCGCCCCGAGCTCCACCGTCACAGCGTGAACTCGCTCTCATGTCCCTGATGCGCCTCTTTTCAAGACGCGAATCGACGGCCAGCACAGCCCACACGGTCAGCCAGGCCGGCACCACTCAGTTCAGCACCAGCCAGCTCTTCGACAAGGCCACCGGCGCGCCCACGTCACACAAAGGCCATCACCGGGAGTCCCAGCAAGCCGCCACAACACCCAACAAGGGCGCCGGTCTGCCTCCCCGGCCCGACTACGGTCGCATCATATGCGACTTACGCCAGCGACTGTCCGAGAGCCAGACAGCGTGTGAGGAGAAGGACGAGGAGGTTCGTTTGAAGGATGAGCAGCACAAGGAGCTGGGGAGGAAGGTGGAGGAGCTGGAGAGATGTGTGGGTGAGAAGCAGGAAGACGCCCGGGAGGCGAGGGAGAGGGAGGACAAGATGAGAAGCCTCTATGAGGCGGCATGCAGGAAGGCCGATGCCGACATAGAGGTAGGGACACACAGCCAGACGGCCGTCATCTGATTTATGTGTTATCATGCACCTTGTCTGTCTGTCTGCTTGTCTTCAGACGTTGACGGCCCACTTGGACCACGAGTATCCCTGGCGTGAGGCCCTCGCCCATCTGGCCACCCTCATCCCCCCGACAGCCCAATCACGTCACGCCGGATCCGCATCGGCCTCCCCCGCCTCCCGGTCATCCGCCACACACACCAATAACTACTTCCCCTTCAGCACCCTCCCCGCATCCCTCTCACCCAAGAGCTCCAAGGCCCTCCAAAGCGAGGGCGGCGAGCCGCTCAGCCCCTCAACACGGCTGGACTTCCTCCCGCACAACGCCTCAGGTGATGTGCGCGAGATGGCGGCCATGGTGGTCGGTGTGTTGGACGGCATGCGCGAGTACGTGCGTGAGGTGGGTATGGCCTGTGAGGGGCGGCGTGAGGAGTTCGAGCGGCTCAAGGAGGAGAACAAGGCGCTGCGGGAAGTGGTGGACGCGCCGCGGACCTGCATCCACTGCGGGGCCAAATACTCACTGCTTAAGAACGGACCGGTGAGAGGGAGAGGGATCGGTGTGAGGGAGGGAGGGAGTGGTGGGTACATCCATCCATCCATTGATTGGGGTGTGGTGTGGTGTGTGGTTCTGTCTGTGTGTGCAGGAGGATTGTGTGTATCACCCCGGCAAGATGAAGTTCTACTCGTGCTCCAGCTGCGGAGGTAATTAAGACATAACAAGACACACAGCGCGAGCCGCAGCCATGTCGCTTGTGTGTCGTTTGTTTGTCTGTCTGTGTGTGGTGTGTTGTGGTTTAGGCGCCAAGTACTTCACGTGTTGCATGAAGTGCACAGAGTGCTCGGCGGGCTGCCGCACAGGATACCACGTCTCGTGACCGACTGCAAAGGCTGGGGCGGGGCGGGCAAGAGAGAGACCGACAGCACAAAGGGTGTTGTTGTGAGAGAGGTGGGATGGGATGGGTGGGCTGTCATGTCAGGTCGCATCGACTGCTTCCTCGCGTAGCAAACGGCTGCTGTTATTTTTGGCCGAATGAATGGTTTGATCCATGTAGCTAGCTAGCACTGGTTGCTGTGTGCGCGTGTGTGGGTCCATGTGTGTCTGTCAGTTGTGTGTGCACTCACCTCACTGCTGGTCCGACGCGGTTGTACCATAGCTGATAGAATAGGTTGGCTGGCGAGGGAGGGGGGGAGGGAGGGAGGGGGGTTTGACTATGAGGGGGGGAATAAGGTTGGGATCTGTTGTGTTTGCACCAGCCGTTTGGTGCCTCTGTGTGGTGTGTGTGTGAGCGATTGATTTCTGTGGGTGAGAAGAAAGGTGTCTGTCTGTGATTGCTGTGGTGTGCGTGTGTGCGTGGCTGACCTGAATTTCTCATTCATTCATGTGAATGTGCTGCCTCTCCTGCAGAATGAACCATGTCAGCTGACACAATCTGTCACAACGCCCGGCCCGGCGCATCAGATGTCTTCACTGTCGACCGTCTGCGGCTGCCCTTTTCTTCTTCATCGTCGCCATCGTCGCTGACGTCGCTGCGTGGAAAGCGTTCGCCACACACACGAACGTGGGCAGATCGCGCGGCGAAGCGTTCGTTCGTTCTTTTGTTAACCTCACGGGGACCTTGCCCACCAGCCCCGAAAGAGTCAGGAGAAGGAAGCACTGGATGCAACGCAACCCACCGCTTTCGCGAGGCCTTCGCAGAAAGTAGAAAAGTGGCTACCGCTTCATGCACATGCAGTGAGCGAGAGGTGAGCAAAGAAAAGGCAAACACAAGAGGACCATCAGGCGCCGCAAGGCCATACATGCGAACAACACGGAATACTTCCCCCAACTTCCCCTCGTGCAGAGAACCGTCAGCCCTTTTTCTGTACTAGTAGCTGATTCCGATGGGGCTCTGCTTGGACACGTCAAGACAAGTCAAGACGTCATCTGCCGTCCCGTTGCATGTGCTCCAGCAGATCTCGAGGTGGCTCTTCCGATCTCAAGCACGCTCCCAACCATCATTCACAGAGAGACATGCACCATTTTTGGCCGTCGATCCTGACAGTCAGTGACTCATGGGTGAATGGAATGGCTGCCAGCATCTCCTACAGAATGAACCCATGGCAGGCAATGAACCATCTGATGCCATGCGACGCATGGGTCTGTGCCAGCGCGTCGAATTTCGCGTCTGTCGGTCGGTTGTCTGGGGCTGCTTGTTTCTTCTCCATTGTCGTCGCTGACGTCGGTGTGGTCCCATTAACAGTGATCAATCGGCCGGCCATGAATAGAATCAGCGAACGCCGCAGATCGCGAGCTCATAAACTCGCCTTTCGATGAATGGGTTGGCGTTTTGTATAGCAATTAGCACTCACTGAGTCGGCGTGAAGGCCCCGGAGGTCGGCCTCCTCGATAGCAAGCCTCGGCCGACACAGAGGCCATCGCTCATTGGATTCTGCTCGACAGATCTCGCCGGTAGGCAGCACACAGATGCCGAGAGTGATGCACACACACACACCCCTCTGTGCTCTTCTCGTCAGCCGTGTTTGAGTGCCGCCATGGCAGCGGCGGCGGCTTCATCTTCATCTGCCGGTGCTGCGCATCAGGCCGAGGTGAGTCAAGGCACAGCACACACACACTCATCGTGTGCCACCGTCAATGATTCATTCATTTCTTCGTTTGCTTGTCTTCGTTTCATCAGGTGATGGGACGGTCTGCGAGTAGTCGTTACAAAGAGGGCACCCGTGTGGTGTCGCTGTCGAGCACCAGGAGGGCTCCGACCAATGACTACGTGTGGGTCACCGCCAAAGTATATCGCGTCGACCCGCATGTAGTCTACATGAAGGCGGGCACTCTGCACGAGGGGACGGCGCTTTACATGAGGGAGGTCGGCGGCTCGGAAGAGGAGTTCAAAGTGCTGAAGCCGCACCAGACCAACACAGACACACAAACGCACCCACAGGCACCCGTGGTAGGCAAACACACCTCAACAGAAAGGTCCCGGGCAGCACTCTGTGATGCATGTCTGTGGTGCTTTGGTGTGATGTGTGTTCAGGTGTGGGATGCTAGCAAGAAGGTACACACGGCCACACACGACACGCGAACGATGTCAGCCACTCTCATGTCTATCTCCCTTGGTCTTATCTTCGGTGCAGGCCCCTGAACGCTTTGGCGAGGACCTTCTGGCCTCGTTCTTTAGTTTCATGACCCCTCGCGAGCTGTCGGCCATCTTCCCACCCCCTCGCAGCACCGACTCCATTGGCGCAGCCACACCCGCAGCAAAACCACGGCCCAGAGCCGTCCAGCGCGTCAGTGCTGCCCGACCAAACCCCACCACCACCACCACCACAGCCCCAGCGCCCCTCTTCGCCGGCATCTTCGCGCCTGCCCAAACACCATCCACATCACAATCGACAGCCACACCCGCCAGCTGCTTATTCGAGCTCGGCAAGGCATCCACGGGGGGAGTTGGCGATCTCTTTCATGGTGGGGCGGCAGCGTCGGGAGGTGGCTCTCTCTTCGGCGAAGTCGGGTCGACAAGCAGCGGCACTGGCAGAGGGAGTCTGTCTGGCCAGGGCGGGGCTGCCACTGGGACGGCTGGCATGTTCGGCGGCAGCATCTCTGGCGGCGCTGGTGAGTGTGTGACGTCACGAAGCAACACACACATGGATGGATGGATCAATCTCCTGCTGGCTGCATGTGTGTGTGGATCCATCAAGTGTGGCGGCGACATCATCATTCAGTGGACCGTCATTCTCAGCTCGGGGCAGCATGCTTGGCGGTCCGGCCTTCGGGCAGCAGCCATCCGGTGGTGCCACGCGGAGCAGCCCCTCCCTCATCCACACGGCAGCCCTTCACCAGCAGACACACGTCGCCATCGACTCTTCCACCGATATCGACCGTCACTTCTGGGACAACATGACGACTGAGAAGGCCTTCCAGCTCGGCAAACGGCTCGTCAACCTGACGGCCCTCACTCTTGTGCAGCCACGCCGCGGCCGGTCATGGTGTCTGGGCAGCATGATAAATGTCGTAGAGGGCCATGCGGCCGGGCGGCGCGAGGCGCGCGAGAAGGAGGGGCAGCGGCTCATGGCGGAGGGATCGCTGGAGACCATCGACTTCACCACCGCCCCCACTCGCACCAGCCGCAGCTCCCCGCCCTCCCTCCCTGTCACCCAGCCCCCCACCCTCCATGCCCTCAGGGCCGTCACTGGAGCCGTCCACCAGCACAGTGTGCTGGCCGACAGGGGCTGGAAGATGCCCGCACTCGAGTATGTGGACCAGGACGGGTGGGGTGCCAGCGAGCTCGGCCGCTTCGTCAGCTCGTCGCCATCGCTGAAAGAGGTTGGGGGGCGTCGGCGGTCATGGGGGCAGTGGGCGACTTTGTTTGAGCACTTCCCTGAGGCACCTGATGGGCAGCCGGGGCCGCTCAGCCACCTCCAGAGCATCGGAGGGATCGAGCATCCGAGGAATCGACAGACATCAGAAATCACGCGACTGCAGGTAGGCAACCGTGACACAGAGGAGGCCTCATCCGCACGTGCACACACACGCGAATGACGCCATTCACCTTCTGTTTCTAGAACGTGCTCTCATCGCGTGGCTGCCGCAAGTCGCTCACAAGCCTCGACGTGGAACTCTCACCATTCAGGGACCACGACGACCTGTCTGCCCTGCTGGCTGTTGACCGCTTCATCAACACCTGCTGCACCTCGCCGGACGTGCCGCTCTACGTGACGGTTTTGAGGGGCATCTTCAACTTGGCCGTCTTCTACGCCGACGCATTCCCCCGTCGCCCCTCGCCCTTCATCAAGACGGCCATCAAGGAGGCGGCACGGCAGACGAGGTACGTGTACTACAGGCTCAGCCAGCACGACGTCACCCACCCCCTTGACGACCCCAGCCCGGCGGCCACCGACATCGCATCGAGCCTCTCATTCGACGAGGCGCGGAGGGTGTCGGTCCACAATGCCAATGGCTTCGCTCCCCCTCCCGGCACCCCCCCACCCGCCCCCGCCATCATCAACGACCTGCAGCAGTTCCCGAGGGCGGGAGAGCTGTATTTCAGCAGCCGTCTGGGCGTTGCTGCGGGCCGGCTGTTGGCGCAGAGGATGCCCAGGGAGGTGGTGAGGGTCCTGTTTGATGGAGCTGTCAGTGCACAGGACAGGATCGGCGTGCTGGAGGGATTGGGGGCCTGGAGGGATGTCAACACTGTCCGTGTGGGTGAGTTAGATTGGGTCAGTCTCACGCAGGGCGGCGCCTTTGACGGCTGGGGGTCGAATGGCCTGCCATCGATTAGCAACATAGGCATGCAGTTAGAAGGTATGCCGGGAGGGCAGTGAGTGCAGGAAGGTGGTCGTCGGGTCATCATGTGTGTGTGTCCATCCGCCTTGTCTGTGTGTCGTCATTCAGTGCCCCATGAGTTGGAGGCCTCTGCTGCCGCCAACATCATCCGCGACGGCCTGTCATCTCTGCTCTCCGCCGGTCTCCGCGGCCTGAGGGTTGTGAAGCTGCGGCTGCTGGACGTGTATCACGACCTTGGCGATGTCATTCGTCGTGAGCTGCTCCCGCACGGCACTCGAGTGGGCGGCTTCACCATCAACACACCGGATAATGATGAGGATTGGTGCATTGTGCTGGTGGCATCTCGTGACCCCTAGACGGTGAGAGCAAAACACAGGCAGATACTCTTTAGCCCGCTGACCGGTGTAGTGTGTGTGTGTGTGTGTTTGTTTGGCCAGGCCGTCTGTCTGTCTGTCTGGCAGCATCGTACTGTAGCTGCATACACATGGGATGGATGGACGGACGGACGGAGGCATGAGTGTGAAGGTGCGTGGACTCATGTCTGCGTGCCTGTTCGTTAATACTTCTCTCCCATTGCATCCCTTCCCTCCACACACTGAGATGGATACACACTGCATTTCAACGATGGCAACGCAGCTCACAAGCCACACACGAGAGGCATCACCCTCTCTCCATCCAGGCTGCGTGAACGATTGACAAGAAGGGCCCAAATAAAGGTGTTTTCGACTAAGTGCACACGCAAGAAGGTCTTAGGGACGTGGAAGCCGGTCGGTATAAATCTGTCCTACACTGAGTGAGTACATATTCACAGAGATACATACACAACACAAACATACGTAGCACATGGGTATACAAAGAGAGGAAGATACATAACAGGCCATCCAATTGCGCCACCGTGTCTGTCTGTCTGGCTGGCTGTCTGTCTGGCTGTCGGCCGGTTGTGTGTGACACATAGGTGGATGGGTGCACACCCTGACGGCTGGACAGAGGAAGATCGGTCAGTCAGTCAGTGGGCGTTCTCGTCTCCTCCTCGCTCTCCTCCTCCTCGTCGTCGTCATCATCGCCATCATCGTCATCCTCATCTGCAGACCAATGCATTCACACACACAGGTAGGCAGGCAGGCAGGCAGGGAGGGGGACAGCCGGATCCAAGGACACAAGTGAGTGTGGTGTCGGTCTGTTTGGCTGACCTTCGTCGACCTGCATCTCCTGCGACTCGAGGAATCCCTGGATGTGGGCGAGGACGAGCCCCTCGAGATGCTTGTCACGCAGGCTCAGCTCACCTGTACCCGCCACGCAGACAGACAGACAGACAGATGGGCAGACATGGATGGAAGGAATGGATTTGACTGACTGGCCGACCCTTGGCGACGATTTCGTCGAGGCAGAGGACGAGGAAGTTCTCGATGACGTTCTTCTTCCGCTGTGCGTCCAGCTTGCGCCAGGCTGTCATGTGGGCGCGGTTGCTGTTGTAGCAGAAGAAGCAGTCCCACTCCTCCTTGTCGTCGGGGTGGGGCAGCGTCAGCTCGTCGAACTCGATGTCATCTGACGATGGAGGCAGCTGTGTGTGTCTGTGTGAGTGTGTGTTGGTTGGGTGCATGTGTCTGCGCACCGCGGGTGAAGTTGCATTTCTTGAGGAACTCGTCGGTGGCCTCCCGCTCCTCAGGAGCCCTGCACGATCAACCAAAAGACACGACATCCGCCAGGCACACACCCATCATGATGTGTGTGTGCGTGGTGTCATTGCACACACATGTATGGCAGCTGTAGACGGTCGAATATGTCCTTCTCGCTCGCACAGGCGATGTGTTCACTCGAGTATGCGCCGCCCTCATACTTGTACAGATTCTTGTTGTTGAGGGTGTAGCCCTGCGAATGGCCGTGCGACGAGCAGACGCCGTACGCTGCTCGCACCGCCACCACCCGCCCACCTGTCGGCTGGCAAACTTTGCGATGGCCGTGTTGAAGTCGCGCGAGCCTGAACAACCCACAACACACAATCCACAACGCATCATGCACAGATAGTGTCGTGTGGTGTGTTTTGTGTGCTGACCGGTGAAGTACAGGAGGCCGCATGTCTTCTCCTTCTTCGGCTGGAACTGAGCCGCATAAGCAGACCACACACACAGGGAATGATTTGGTTCACGGCTCTTTCTGCATGGATCAGGTGTGGTTACGATGAGGTCGACGCGTCGGTTGATGTTGGTGCCGGGCAGACGGCCGATGCCAAACACGGTGTGGGGGCACTGGTACTGCCCAAGACACACCACGCACCAGCAAGCACATACAAAGCAGGGGATGTGTGTGCATGTCCGTGTGCGATGCGATGGTGTGTACCACTTCCTTGTCCACATTGCGGCCCGAGAGATCGTCGTGACCCAGGTAGTACTTCTCGGTCTGCCCGATGATGTCCACCAGGTAGCCGTCTGACTGCAAACTGCACACAACCATTGCACACCAACCACACCACCGCCCGACTCGCCCACTTGTGGCGTCACTCACCGCTCGACGATGGGCTCGATCTCGGTCTCGAAGTAGTTGTCATGCTGATGGACACACACATCAGCGTACAAAACATGAATTTGTGTGTGTGCCAACCGTCCCTTTGCTGTGTGTGCATTTCTCACGTTGGGTACGATGAATATGTCGACGTCGCCACAGGTGTCCTTCAGGCGGCGGTACGACCCCACACACATCACCTCCAGCTCGTTGTTCGGGAACAGCTTCTCTACCGTGCCCTTGATGTAGTTGAAGTGCTGCAGCCACCCAGCCAGGCACACCAGACAGACAAACGGCACCCATGTGCGTGTTGGTGTGTGCGTACGGTGATGTGGTGTACCTGTTCCACCTCTGCGCGAGGGATGGGCTTCACAATGTCACCGTGGTGCTTGAGCCATACCTGCACACACACACACACACACACAGAGGCAGGACAGACAGACAGACAGACACGTGAAAGGCACCCATGCCGATGCCACCCATGCTGCCCACATTCGGCGCATCCCCACCTTCTGGCCGGCATCGAGTAGGTGGGGATCCTCATCGAGTGCAGCCTGGAGCTCAGCCAACGTGTTGATGCCTGCATGCAGGCATCCACCACCCACATGCGTCTGTGGCCTTTGTCCGCCTTTCTGTCTGTCTGTCTGTCTGTCTGTCTGAGTACCCTTGCAGTACAGCTGAAGAGCGAGGGGCGGGAACATCCACTTGATGTCCTTGCTGAGGATGTCAGTCGAGCTGCAGCCACACAGACAGACAGCACACGACGAAGACAAATTTGGTTTGTGCGCCGGAGTGAACGTGTTGTGCTGCTGCATGTGAGCAGCCTGACTGTCGCTCTCCCGTACCCGATGTCAGCGGCGCCACCAGAGGATGATGCAGCAGCCATTCTGACACGCCCGACGAGGGAATATGGTCAGCTGATTGCTCAGATCTGGGTGTCTGCTGAACTACTCCCGTCGGCCTCCGCTCTCCAGGGCAGGCTGAAAAGGTTTATCTCAAGAGATAGCGGTACTCATTCCGGCGCTCGCGAAAACCCCTTATGTATGGGTTTTTTGGGGTTGCAGGGTTCCAAACCCGCAAACCCCAATTAATGGAAGAAGCGGCGGCTTTTCGCGTGCGTGCCGGTTTCGGCGGTGTGTCGCGTCCCTGAGGTGCGGCCGGATTTCAGAAAGCGCCGTGGATGAATGCCGACCCTCTCTGAAGATCTATCTGAAGAGCCCTCCCCTCTCGCCGCCTCACCTCTCGCTCTGATTTCCCTCGGCCATTGCGTGTCTGGGCGCAAGGGCTCCTAATCCCATCGCACACAAGCTCCGCCCGCTCTTGCCACCTCGTTGCAACCCTGCGCCTCCCTTCCACTGCTCGTTTCCTTGCTCTCTCGTCGATTGTCTTCCTTCGTGAGCCCTTCTCTCGCCCGCCGCCCGCACCATGAAGACGTCCCCCTCAGGCTGCCTGTGCCTCGTCGGCGTGCTCCTGCTGGCCGCCACCGCCACCGCGACGCCCCGGGACAGTGAGGACAACTCCGATGTCGTCGACCTCATCACGGCGGACATCAAGCTCTCCGAGGAGTGGGAAATTGACGCAAACGTGACGGATGTTGACGACACGACGGAAGCTCCGGAATCTGGTGAGCAAACGGCCTCTTCCTCTCCCTCCATCCCTCTGAACCAATTCTGTCAATTCTGTCTGTCTATCTGCTGTGTGCGTGCCGTGGATGGCTGTGTGCGTGAAGAAGACGCTAGTGATTCCTTCCCCTCCCCGGGGCCCCTCCGTGGTCTTCAGACCTTCTGCGGCTGGGTGATCCACCAAGCCTGGCGCAAGGCGTGCACTTCAATCAAGCTGCCCTTTCAACTCGTTTATCCCCATCAGGACCTCTTCGGGCTGCGCCCTCACGTGCATCAGCAACCACCACCTGCAGCAGCCCTGCCTCTGCCAGGGCGCAGGCACCCCGCTGCTGCTTAACACACGGTGCAACCTGCCTCTCGTCACCTACCGCGACAGCTGAACGACAGACAGATGGCCAAATTGCCAAGAGTCTGTGTGTGTGAGTGTGAGTGTGTGTCTTTTGATGTGTGTGTGTGTCTTGTGTTGTGTGCTTCAACGTATGTGCTTTAGTGTGTGGTATTAAGGTGGTGCTTTATTCACAACCACGTGCAAAGGTATGTGTGTGTGTGTAAGTGTGTGTGTGTGTGAGTCGTCTGTGTGACAGGTGTGGCTGGCTGTGTGCTGGCTGCTTTTGCGTCAGAGCTTTCCTTGAGAATAATCGTTTTTGACTGACAGGTCGCGCCTGATCTCGTCATATACATACAGTCTGGACCGCGTAAGTGGGTCACCGCATAAGGCCATTTCGACTGATGCATTCACTGCTGCAGGCGGTGGGGCGGCATGATTTATGTGATTTGTTTCCTGTAATGGGCCCATCAGACACCGTTGATGACACCAAGTGCATGTGTCGACGGCGAATCTTCTTGCAAAATCACTCAGGCTGCATCACTTTGCGTGGCGTGTGTGGAGATCAACGATGAATCAAACATTCGGAGACATCCAAGGGCTCTCGCAGCCATCCAAGGACTGATTGAATGAATAAGAGGACAGACGGTTTTTCGTCGTTTTGAGTGACTTTGCGCGAGAAAAAAAGAGTTAATGGGCTTCTGAGAGGCTCCTGTGATTCATTCACAGCGAGAAATCACTCCAAAAGTCGCTGGAAAATAAGTGGGTCAGCTCTGTACGTTCGCATAAACGGGTCAAACGCGTAAGTGGGTCAGCCCTGTACTGACCCACTTACGCGGTCCGGACTGTATGGTGTCCTAACGCATGTGTGCGTTTGTGCGTGCGTTTGTTGAAGCCAGGGGGGATGGGCGGGCCAGAGACGGGTGGGTAGTGGTGTCTATCAGTGGCCCTGCCATTCCTCGTCAGATCCGCTGGTCCAGGCCGCCCTTTCTCTCACACAGTCAGAGGGCCCCTGTCGATGTCCATCGGCTCTTCGGCAGGCCACTCACCGCCTCGCCCGTCATTACCCGCGGCAGATCTTCGGTTCCCTCGACCCGTTGCGGGGCGGAGGGGCAGCAGCATCACTTGCCGACCGCCGGATGAGGGACTTGTCCTTGCTGCCGCCACCGTAACGTTACCTTTTGCGGCACATAGAATCGTGACTGTCGGTTGTCTGCGGCTGCTTGTTTCTTCTCAATTGTCGTCACTGACGTCGGTGTGGTCCCATTTGGAGTGATCAATCGGCTCGGCCATGAATAAATCAGCGAAGCCCTGCGGATCGCAAGCTGGCGAATAAGCTCGCCTTTCGATGAATGGGACAGCAATTAGCACTCACTGAGTCGGCGTGAGTGCCCTGGGGAGGTCGGCCTCCTCGATAAAAGCCTCGGCTGAAAGAGAGCCATCGCTCATTCAATTCTGCTCGACACATCCGCTGGTAGGCGACGGGCGAATGACGAGAGAGATGCCGAGAGTGATGCACACACACACACCTCTGTCCTCTTCTCGTCAGCCGTGTTTGAGTGTGTCGCCATGGCAGCGGCGGCGGCGGCTTCATCTGCTGGTGCTGCGCATCAGGCAGAAGTGAGTCAAGGCACAGCACACACAGCCATAATGTGCCATTGGAATGACTCCTTCATTTGGTCATTCAATTTGTTAGGCAATGCCATTCCCTGCGCCGTGCCGTTACCAGGAGGGCACCCGTGTTGTGTTGCTGTCGAGCACCAAGAGGGCTCCGACCAATGACTACGTGTGGGTCACGGCCAGCATACATCACATCGACCCACACGTGGTCTACATGAAGGCGGGCACTCTGCACAATGGGACGGCGCTCCACATGAGGGAGGTCGGCGGGAGGGGGGAGGAGTTCATACGAGTGGTGCCGCACCAGAGCAACACAGACACACACACGAACCCACAGCCACCCGTGGTAGGCAAACACAGCTCAACAGAAAGTCCCGGACAGCACTCTGTGATGTTTGGTGCTTTGGTGTGTGGTGTGATGTGTGTGCAGGGGTGGGATGTTAGCAAGAAGGTACACACAGCCACACACGACACACGAATGATGTCAGCCACTCTAATGCCTATCTCCCTTGGTCTTGTCTTCGGTGCAGGCCCCTGAACGCTTTGGCGAGGACCTTCTGGCGTTGTTCTTTAGCTTCATGACCCCTCGCGAGCTGTCGGCCATCTTCCCTCCCGCTCGCAGCACCGACTCCGAAACGACCGTCCTCCCGTCGACCAGTGCCGGTCCGCTGTTTGCCGGCGCCGCCTTCGGACCCCTCAAGGGCGAGAACACAGCTGCGGCCAGCGGGGACGCGGCCTACGGGGCATCATCTCTGTTTGGCGGGTCTTCTCTGATCGGCACATTAACGGGAGAGGGGGGCCTGTCGAGTGCTGCGGCAGCTGCGTCATCAGGCGGCCGTTCCTCGTCGGTGTTCACACTTGGCGCAGTGGCCACACCTGCGGTCAAAAAACCACGGTCCCGCGCCAAGCGCATCAGTGCCGCCCCTTCACCCGCCTCGGCCGCCGGCCCTACCAACCCCACCACCACCATCACAGCCCCAGTAGACCTCTTCGGTGGCAGCATCCAGACGCAGACTGGCAGCGTCTTCGCGCCTCCCAAAGCACCATCTACAGCACAGTCGACAACCACACCCGCCAGCGGCCCACTCGAGCTCGGGAAGGCATCCACGGGGGGAGGAGTCGGCGACCTGTTTGGTGGCGGGGCGGCAGCGTCGGGAGTCAAGTCGACGGACAGCCCGCTCAGCGGCGCTGGCAGAGCGAGCCTGTTTTGCCAGGGCGGGGCTGCCATGGGGACGGGCGGCATATTCGGCCTCTTCAGCGGTAGCAGCATCTCTGGCGGGACTGGTGAGTGTGTCACGTCACGGAGCAACACACACATGGATGGATCGCATGCTGGCTGCCTGTCTGTGTGTGTGGAACGATCAGCTGCGGCGGCGTCATCTTCATTCAGTGGACTGTCATTCTCGACTGGCGACAGCCTGTCTGGCGGTGCGGCCTTCGGGCAGCAATCATCCGGTGGTGCCGCACAGAGCAGCCCCTCCCTCATCCACACGGCAGCCCTTCAGCAGCAGACACACATCGCCATCGACTCTTCTACCGAGGACGAGCGCCAGTTCTGGGAGAGCATGACGACTGAGGAGGCCTTCCAGCTCGGCAAGCGGCTCGTCAACCTGACAGCAGTCACCCCCGTGCAGCCACACAACGACCGGTCATGGTGTCTGGACATCATGATGAGCGTCGTGGAGGGCCATGCGGCTGGGCGGCGCGAGGCGTGCGAGAAGGAGGGGCAGCAGCACACGGCTGTCGGCAGTTTGGAGACCATCAACTTCACCACCCCCACCACCCCCACCAGCAGTGTGAAGCAGCACCGTTCCCCTATCCCCCCTTCATTCGCCGCCCCGCCCCCGACCCTCCATGCCCTCAGGGCCGTCACAGGAGCCGTCCGACAGCACAGTGTGCTGGCCGACAGGGGCTGGAAGATGCCCGCACTCGAGAGTGTCGAGCTGTGGGGGTGGGATGCCGAGTTGCTGGGCCGTTTCATAAGCTCGTCGTCATCGCTGAAAGGGGTGGAGGGGCGTCGGCGGTCATGGGACAAGTGGGCAGCTGTGTTTGAGCACTTCCCCGTCGCATCCGCCGGCCAGCCAGGGCCGCTCAGACAGCTGCAGACCATCGGAGGGATCACATGGTTCCGCGGGGACGAGGGAGCAGTGAGTCGACTGCAGGTAGGCAGTTATCACACAGGGGACACCTCATCCAATGGTGTCCTTCTCTCTTGGTTTCTAGGATGTGCTCACGTCGCGTGGCTGCCGCAAGTCGCTGACGAGGCTCGACGTGGAGATCCCACCATTCGGGGACCACGACGACCTGTCTGCCCTGCTGGCTGTCGACAAATTCATCAACACCTGCTGCGCGCCCGATGTGCCGCTCACCGTGTCGAGTGGGGGGGGCATCTTCAAGCTGTCCCTCTTCTACGCCGACGAGTTCCCCCGTCGCCCCTCGCCCTTCATCAAGGAGGCCATCCAGAAGGCGGCACGGCAGGCGATGTATGTGACTTACACCATCAGCCAGCATGACATCACCCACCCCCTTGACACCCCCAGCCAGGTGGCCGTCGAGATAGCACAGACACTCTCATTCGACAAGGTGTGGAGGGTGTCGGTCAGCAATGCCTATGGCTTCGTCCCCCCTCCCGGCACCCCCCCACCCGTCCCCGCCATCATCAACCACCTACAGCAGCTCCCGAGGGCAAGAGAGCTGCGTGTCCACAGCGGTCTGGTCGCATCATCTGCGGGCCGGCTGCTCGCAGAGAAGATGCCCAGAAAGTTGTGGCGGGTGGAATTTGGCAGAGGTGTGAGTGCAGAGGACAGACGCGGTGTGCTGGAGGCGCTGGGGGCGGGGAGAGAGGTGGTCGAGGTCTTTGTGGGTGTGGAGTGGGGTGAGATCAGTGCGGTCAGTCTCACGCAGGGTGGTGCCTTTGACGGCTGGCGGTCGAGTTCCCTGCCATCGAGTCGAGAGATAGGCATGCACTTAGAAGGTATGGCGGGAATGCCTGCAGTGAGTGCAGCGGGTTGCTTGTCGGCTCATTGTGTGTTTGTGTCCGTGTGCCGTCATTCGTCAGTGTCCGAGGAGCTGGAGCCCCTTGCTGCTGCCGAGCTCATCCGCAGCGGCCTGACATATCTGCTCACCGCCGGTGTCCGCGGCCTGAGCCGCGTGGGGGTGCGGCTGCCGATGTATGGCGACCTTAACGACGCCATTCGACGGGTGGTCCACGACATCAGAGTCAGCGATTTCACCATCAGCACACGGGATGATAATGAAGACATAGTGGTGGAGGCAACTCGTGGCTCCTAAATGGTGAGACGGATGAGAGAGACAGACACTGTCCTGATTGCAACTTTGTCCATGGCACGCGCTGTGTGTCTGTCTGTGTGTTGTGTGGTCAGGCTATCTGTCTGTCTGACAGCACCGTAGACGTAGCTGCCGCACGTCCGGCCCTCCGATCAGCAGATGGACGTGCAGACACTCTCTCTCTTGACGCATGGCTGGACCAGTGGGCGGACGGATGTGTGTGCGTGAGTACTCTATGCGAGTAGTGCCCGCCCAGACCCTGTGTCTGCATTGGGCCTCCAATGTTGAGCTGCAGTTCCGACTGGCACATCCACGGCGTCGGTGACACCATCAGGCGAGAACCAAAGTGGTCGTGGGAGGGGCTACGTCTCACCCACGCGCAAACCCATATGCATCATATCAGCTACATTTGATTGCATGCTGGAGGCTACCCATCCGTCCACTGTTCCCTCTCCCTCTCTGCCTGCCTGCCTGCCTGCCTGCCTGGCCGTTTCGGCGAGCAGGCGTCAAGGACGAGAGGTCTGCAAGAATCTACAGCTACACCTACACACACATCCCTCCCCCATCTACTTGAGCAGGTCCTTGACGCGCTGCACCAAGACGGCCTTGGTGCCACTCACCTGCAGGCAATGGACAACAGGACAGCCACGTGTGATTTGTTGTGGCGATGGGTCGGCTGCGTCTATGTGCGGACCGGCAGGTTGTTCTCAGGGAGGAACGACTTGAGGTTGTCGTTGGTGAGCTTCTGAATGCTGTCGTCGGCTATCATCTCCTGTGTGTTGACGGAGACACACACCACACACACAGACAGAGACAGACATACCCATGGCCGCCCACAGCCGAACAGCCAGGGTGCAGCTGACCTTCATTTTGTCTTTGGTGAGCGAGTCCGGGTCGATCTTGGGTTTCTTGGCGCCCCCCCCGCCGCCCCCGCCGGCAGGCCGCTTCTTGCCGGCAGCCGGCTTGGGCACCAACTCGTCGCCATAAACACTGCATAACACAACACACGGAGGGCTGGGGGAGGCATGGGCGTGTTGTGTGTACCTCTGTCGGAACTTGATGGCGTCCTCGGGGAGGCTGCCCTGCATCATTGTGAGGGGGGGCGGCAGCACCTCCTGGGACATGCTGCTGGGCAACTCGTCACCCAACGCCAGACTTTGATGACACACATGGACATGCATGACACACAATAAATGGCATTGGGGGTGACGTATAGGTGTGTGTGTGTGTGTAGGTACCTCTATGGCCTGGTAGTGTCGCTGCAGCATCGGGTTGGGGATCTGCTGCGGATGGAAATCGTCAATCTTCATACCTGCATCAACACACACACACACACACGTGTCCCCTCCCTGCCTCCCTGCCTCCCAGGGCCTCCTTCCCTCCCTCCCGCACCTCTGATCATTCGTTTGGCGTTCTTGACCTGCTCGCGCCACTCGTCGTGGTCCTTGATGATGGCGTGTGGGTCGGCCTGGTCGGCCTCGGTGGCGTCTTGCGAGTCCATCACGGCCACGTGGTGGGTGCCGAGCTGCAGATGGCGGATGTCCTCGGCCCACGGCAGACCGATCAGGTGGAAGCCACTCGGCTCGATGTGCTTGACCCGCTTCTTGGACTCTCGCTGATGAGTGGAAGGACAAACACACACACACACAGATGGGTGAGGGGAGAGGGGAGGGGGGAGGAGCTCACCTGAGGCACCAGTGCGGCGAAGTACGGTGTGGCATTAGCGCGAGGGATGAGGCGGACGATGGCCACGACGTCCCTCTCGATCATCTTGGTGAGCAGCGCCGAGAAGAACACGCGGGAACCCTTGACGCGATTCTTGTTCGGGTAGCTGACAAACACAACACACAACACACGACACATAGATGGATGGGGCGGGCCGTGTGTGTTGGGGGAGGGGCGGGGGGGGATGGATTACATGAATTTGCTGTTTTCGACGATGTGGTCGAGTTTGATGGACGACTTGGGCTTGAACCCCAGCAGCTTCATACCGGGCTCGTCGAACTTCTGCACACACACACACACAGACACACACACACACACACACAGAGAGAGAGAGAGAGAGAGAAGGAGGCGCATCCGTCAATCATTCTCGCCTTGTGTGTGTGTGTGTGTGTATCGTTGAGTGACTTAGTGACCTTGATTTGAGCTATTTCCTTTTTGGTGATCTTGACCTGCTCTCCGCCGTACTCGAAGTAGGTCTCAACGCTCTCAGGCAGCACAGACGCACCAGATAGGTCGGTACTGCACACACACACACACACAGAGCACACAAATGGGTGCAGGCGTCGTTGTGTTGTGTGTGTGTGTGTGGGGGG